TATATGTATGATACTTATAAGAACATATGTATTGTTCTTATAAGGGCATAAGTATGGTACCTTTTTGGGCATATGTATGTTACTTATAAGAGCTTTTGTATGGTACCTCAATGGGCATATGTATTGTTCTTATATGGGCATATGTATGACACTTATATGGGATTGAGTATGGTACCTTTATGGGTATGTGTTTGGTACTTATGTACTTACGTACCTCTATGGTACTTACGTACCTTTTACCTTACACAGACAGTCATCCGTATTTTATAGATATAGAAGATAGACAATGATTAAATCAAGTAATAAAAACTTGACCAGCGGACGAAGACAAAGATGGGGTACATACAGCCCGCCGCCTGCAAAGAATCCGAGCCCTGGCGAAATCGTCATTTTTCACAAAACTCAAAATCAAAACCAGCCATAGAATCGTTTTGAAAATGGTACCATTGTGTTTACCACAGCAATTTACCTTTCTTTCTGTAAAGGCTTTCTTTGCTAATTTTAAATATTAACGCCTATACAGCCATATTTACTGAGATACAGCCACCTCAAATATCAAACCTATCATCGTGTTTTCTCAACAAATTACTAAGGAAAATGAGTTTTAAAAAATGTAATAATAATCAAAATGAGCTAAATAATAAATGGATAATCAAAATAACATTATATCAATATTCCTCATGTATTTAGAGACTACTATGCATGGTGCGTATATGGGCATATGTATGCTACTTATAAAGGCATTTGTATGGTACCTATATTGGCATATGAATGGTACTTATATGGGCATTTATGGTACTTATAAGGGCATATGTATGGTAGTTATAAGGGTATATGTATGATACTTATAAGAACATATGTATTGTTCTTATAAGGGCATAAGTATGGTACCTTTTTGGGCATATGTATGTTACTTATAAGAGCTTTTGTATGGTACCTCAATGGGCATATGTATTGTTCTTATATGGGCATATGTATGACACTTATATGGGATTGAGTATGGTACCTTTATGGGTATGTGTTTGGTACTTATGTACTTACGTACCTCTATGGTACTTACGTACCTTTTACCTTACACAGACAGTCATCCGTATTTTATAGATATAGAAGATAGACAATGATTAAATCAAGTAATAAAAACTTGACCAGCGGACGAAGACAAAGATGGGGTACATACAGCCCGCCGCCTGCAAAGAATCCGAGCCCTGGCGAAATCGTCATTTTTCACAAAACTCAAAATCAAAACCAGCCATAGAATCGTTTTGAAAATGGTACCATTGTGTTTACCACAGCAATTTACCTTTCTTTCTGTAAAGGCTTTCTTTGCTAATTTTAAATATTAACGCCTATACAGCCATATTTACTGAGATACAGCCACCTCAAATATCAAACCTATCATCGTGTTTTCTCAACAAATTACTAAGGAAAATGAGTTTTAAAAAATGTAATAATAATCAAAATGAGCTAAATAATAAATGGATAATCAAAATAACATTATATCAATATTCCTCATGTATTTAGAGACTACTATGCATGGTGCGTATATGGGCATATGTATGCTACTTATAAAGGCATTTGTATGGTACCTATATTGGCATATGAATGGTACTTATATGGGCATTTATGGTACTTATAAGGGCATATGTATGGTAGTTATAAGGGTATATGTATGATACTTATAAGAACATATGTATTGTTCTTATAAGGGCATAAGTATGGTACCTTTTTGGGCATATGTATGTTACTTATAAGAGCTTTTGTATGGTACCTCAATGGGCATATGTATTGTTCTTATATGGGCATATGTATGACACTTATATGGGATTGAGTATGGTACCTTTATGGGTATGTGTTTGGTACTTATGTACTTACGTACCTCTATGGTACTTACGTACCTTTTACCTTACACAGACAGTCATCCGTATTTTATAGATATAGAAGATAGACAATGATTAAATCAAGTAATAAAAACTTGACCAGCGGACGAAGACAAAGATGGGGTACATACAGCCCGCCGCCTGCAAAGAATCCGAGCCCTGGCGAAATCGTCATTTTTCACAAAACTCAAAATCAAAACCAGCCATAGAATCGTTTTGAAAATGGTACCATTGTGTTTACCACAGCAATTTACCTTTCTTTCTGTAAAGGCTTTCTTTGCTAATTTTAAATATTAACGCCTATACAGCCATATTTACTGAGATACAGCCACCTCAAATATCAAACCTATCATCGTGTTTTCTCAACAAATTACTAAGGAAAATGAGTTTTAAAAAATGTAATAATAATCAAAATGAGCTAAATAATAAATGGATAATCAAAATAACATTATATCAATATTCCTCATGTATTTAGAGACTACTATGCATGGTGCGTATATGGGCATATGTATGCTACTTATAAAGGCATTTGTATGGTACCTATATTGGCATATGAATGGTACTTATATGGGCATTTATGGTACTTATAAGGGCATATGTATGGTAGTTATAAGGGTATATGTATGATACTTATAAGAACATATGTATTGTTCTTATAAGGGCATAAGTATGGTACCTTTTTGGGCATATGTATGTTACTTATAAGAGCTTTTGTATGGTACCTCAATGGGCATATGTATTGTTCTTATATGGGCATATGTATGACACTTATATGGGATTGAGTATGGTACCTTTATGGGTATGTGTTTGGTACTTATGTACTTACGTACCTCTATGGTACTTACGTACCTTTTACCTTACACAGACAGTCATCCGTATTTTATAGATATAGAAGATAGACAATGATTAAATCAAGTAATAAAAACTTGACCAGCGGACGAAGACAAAGATGGGGTACATACAGCCCGCCGCCTGCAAAGAATCCGAGCCCTGGCGAAATCGTCATTTTTCACAAAACTCAAAATCAAAACCAGCCATAGAATCGTTTTGAAAATGGTACCATTGTGTTTACCACAGCAATTTACCTTTCTTTCTGTAAAGGCTTTCTTTGCTAATTTTAAATATTAACGCCTATACAGCCATATTTACTGAGATACAGCCACCTCAAATATCAAACCTATCATCGTGTTTTCTCAACAAATTACTAAGGAAAATGAGTTTTAAAAAATGTAATAATAATCAAAATGAGCTAAATAATAAATGGATAATCAAAATAACATTATATCAATATTCCTCATGTATTTAGAGACTACTATGCATGGTGCGTATATGGGCATATGTATGCTACTTATAAAGGCATTTGTATGGTACCTATATTGGCATATGAATGGTACTTATATGGGCATTTATGGTACTTATAAGGGCATATGTATGGTAGTTATAAGGGTATATGTATGATACTTATAAGAACATATGTATTGTTCTTATAAGGGCATAAGTATGGTACCTTTTTGGGCATATGTATGTTACTTATAAGAGCTTTTGTATGGTACCTCAATGGGCATATGTATTGTTCTTATATGGGCATATGTATGACACTTATATGGGATTGAGTATGGTACCTTTATGGGTATGTGTTTGGTACTTATGTACTTACGTACCTCTATGGTACTTACGTACCTTTTACCTTACACAGACAGTCATCCGTATTTTATAGATATAGAAGATAGACAATGATTAAATCAAGTAATAAAAACTTGACCAGCGGACGAAGACAAAGATGGGGTACATACAGCCCGCCGCCTGCAAAGAATCCGAGCCCTGGCGAAATCGTCATTTTTCACAAAACTCAAAATCAAAACCAGCCATAGAATCGTTTTGAAAATGGTACCATTGTGTTTACCACAGCAATTTACCTTTCTTTCTGTAAAGGCTTTCTTTGCTAATTTTAAATATTAACGCCTATACAGCCATATTTACTGAGATACAGCCACCTCAAATATCAAACCTATCATCGTGTTTTCTCAACAAATTACTAAGGAAAATGAGTTTTAAAAAATGTAATAATAATCAAAATGAGCTAAATAATAAATGGATAATCAAAATAACATTATATCAATATTCCTCATGTATTTAGAGACTACTATGCATGGTGCGTATATGGGCATATGTATGCTACTTATAAAGGCATTTGTATGGTACCTATATTGGCATATGAATGGTACTTATATGGGCATTTATGGTACTTATAAGGGCATATGTATGGTAGTTATAAGGGTATATGTATGATACTTATAAGAACATATGTATTGTTCTTATAAGGGCATAAGTATGGTACCTTTTTGGGCATATGTATGTTACTTATAAGAGCTTTTGTATGGTACCTCAATGGGCATATGTATTGTTCTTATATGGGCATATGTATGACACTTATATGGGATTGAGTATGGTACCTTTATGGGTATGTGTTTGGTACTTATGTACTTACGTACCTCTATGGTACTTACGTACCTTTTACCTTACACAGACAGTCATCCGTATTTTATAGATATAGAAGATAGACAATGATTAAATCAAGTAATAAAAACTTGACCAGCGGACGAAGACAAAGATGGGGTACATACAGCCCGCCGCCTGCAAAGAATCCGAGCCCTGGCGAAATCGTCATTTTTCACAAAACTCAAAATCAAAACCAGCCATAGAATCGTTTTGAAAATGGTACCATTGTGTTTACCACAGCAATTTACCTTTCTTTCTGTAAAGGCTTTCTTTGCTAATTTTAAATATTAACGCCTATACAGCCATATTTACTGAGATACAGCCACCTCAAATATCAAACCTATCATCGTGTTTTCTCAACAAATTACTAAGGAAAATGAGTTTTAAAAAATGTAATAATAATCAAAATGAGCTAAATAATAAATGGATAATCAAAATAACATTATATCAATATTCCTCATGTATTTAGAGACTACTATGCATGGTGCGTATATGGGCATATGTATGCTACTTATAAAGGCATTTGTATGGTACCTATATTGGCATATGAATGGTACTTATATGGGCATTTATGGTACTTATAAGGGCATATGTATGGTAGTTATAAGGGTATATGTATGATACTTATAAGAACATATGTATTGTAGAGGTATTTGGCAAAGGCTGTGTCATTTCAGGCAATTGTGAAGAGATTGTCCCCTGGGGCGAAACAGGCGAGCAAGGTTCCCCTACTCGTCTTGGTGGTTTAGGCACATCATATATTTGTTCTAATAAACAATTTTCTTCTGTAATGCTGATTGGCCTGCTCTCTGTCCTGTAACTGATTGGCCTGCTTTCTGTCCTGTAACTGATTGGCCTGCTGTCTGTCCTGTAGCTGATTGGCCTGCTGTCTGTCCTGCTGCTGATGAGGCCACTCTGGTTATGGAAAGAAAAGGTGCATTATAATAAATAATAATAATAAATAAATAATAATAAATGTTTATTTAGGTAAGGTACATACAAGAGATTTTACAAAGAGTGATGGATTTATAGATAGAGCTAGTACATTCAATGCCTAAAGCCACTATTACGCAAAGCGTTTCGGGCATGAAAAACTTAAATGACTAAAGCTTAATACTAATTGAGTATAAAGAATAAAATGTGTTGAGAACAAATGAAAATAGAGATAAAAAAAGTGGGGAACATGGCTGAAAAAGCAGCGCAAATACAATAAGGTAGACAAACAGCGTTGTTTAAAAAAAAAAACAGACATGGGTTGACAATAGAGGGGTAAGGTAGGTTACAGGGAATTTATTAGGTAGTGCTTCGTTTTTTATCTTAAACTGGTTGAGAGAGGTACAGTCTTTAACATGGTTGGGAAGGTCATTCCACATTCTGGGTCCCTTGATTTGTAGAGCATTTCTAGTTTGATTAAGTCGTACTCTTGGAATATCAAAACTCTATTTATTTCTGATGTGGTTTTCATGGGTTCTGTTACAACCTTCAATGAAGCTTTTAAGGTCAGGATTGGCATTACAGTTCAGCGTTTTATATATGTATAATACACATGAGAGAATGTGCAGTGACTTAATATCTAACATATTCAGAGATTCGAGTAGGGGTACCGAGTGATGTCTGGGGCCAGAGTTGGATATTGTCCTAATAGCAGCTTTGTGTTGAGTAATTAGAGGACGTAAATGATTTTGGGTAGTAGAACCCCAAGCACAAATACCATAGTTGAGATATGGATAGATGAGGGAGTAATAGTCACCAGGGCAGGGCGGGGTACATAATATCTAATTATAATCTAATAGGCAAAATCCGATATTTAAAAATTTGTACCAAAAGTATTTGAATTGAGTTTCTTATAGGTTGTAGTCTGTTAAAATTTTTACAAGTATATTTAAAAGCCAGTGTTGAATATGATGAAATGCCAATTTCTGGGCAAGTCCCGATGGCTCCCTGAAGCTATTCTAGGGGGACCAGATCCAGAACCTGGCCCCTTCACAATGGCATAGGGAGCCGTGATATTTATTTTTACTTACCTATCAGTATTTACCTATCAATGACTATGGGGAATTGAGGTCTAGCTCTTGAAGCACAGCCTATTAGCCTTGTTGTACCCATTGCATTAACCACTGCACTGCGCAACGTGCCTTGAGGCACTCGATGGCTGGTGCGCAACATGCTTCGGGGCGTTCATAGATATAGCGTAGCATTCAAAACACCCGTGGCTACATGGGGTTCATGTTAGCTTCCTCAGGGCTCTCGTAACCAGACGCCATTCAAAAAAAAAAATTCACGGGCAACATTCCTGGGTATGAGTGTGTCAGTACTGACTGAGCAACCAAGGCTGGAGCACACAGCATGAGCTAACAGCATTGCTGTTCAGTTTGTGACCACATCATTACCTAAAAATGTAAATATATACAGTATGTATCTGATATTATTTAGCCATGATAGTACAGCATTACAGAAGAGCCTGACTGTGATAAAGAAGAGTACAATGTTTAGATATCGGTGAATCAATGCTGTTCAAGATGTTCACAGCACCAGCCACAGCACTGCCATTATTTCGGCCATTTAAGATTCTTCAAATGTCTTCTCATATTCCTTTACAAAATAAACTTGTGGAAAATTATTCATTTACAGGATTTAGTGACCAGGATTCTGATAATAGCAGGATTGTGAGGAGAATTAGTGATATGCATATGATAGTAGGAGTTGTTTGCTTTTTGCTTTTTTCTGCCATGTTTCCCCCCCCCCCTTTTTTCATTTTTTTCTTATTTTTTCTCAACACAATTTATACTTTAATCTCAATTAGTATTAAGTTTTAGTTTTAGTGTTTTTCCTGCCTGAAACGCTTTGCGTAATAGTGACTTTAGGCATTGTATGTACTAGTTCTATCTATAAATCCATCAACTTTTGTATTTCACCTTGTACAGTATGTATGTACTTTACCTGAATAAATATTTGTATTTGTATTTATTTTTTAAACAATGCTGTTTGTTGACCAAATTGTATTTTTGCTGTTTTCCTGCCATGTTCCCCCCTTTTTTATTTTTATATTTTCTCAACACATTTTATACTTTAATCTCAATTAATATTAAGTTTTAGTCTTTAGTGTTTTTCCTGCCCGAAACGCTTTGCGTAATAGTGGCTTTAGGCATTGTATGTACTAGCTCTATGTATAAATTCATCAATATTTGTATCACCCCTCGTATGTATGTACTTTAGCTAAATAAACATTTGAATTTTGAATTTTTGAATTTTGAGTAATCTTGGTGAGGGGAGGGAGGGTCGAGGTAGCGTTGTCTGCTTGCTGGTGTTTGGTAACGTGTTATTATTTGGAATCATCATACCAGCTTAGTGATTTGCTATGGTGAATGCAAATGTGGATACTTATTTAATTATATATATATATATATATATATATATATATATATATATATATATATATATATATATATATATATATGTCGTACCTAGTAGCCAGAACTCACTTCTCAGCCTACTATTCAAGGCCCGATTTGCCTAATAAGCCAAGTTTTCCTGAATTAATATATTTACTATAATTTTTTTCTTATGAAATGATAAAGCAACCCTTTTCTCTATGTATGAGGTCAATTTTTTTTTATTGGAGTTAAAATTAACGTAGATATATGACCGAACCTAACCAACCCTACCTAACCTAACCTAACCTATATTTATAGGTAAGGTTAGGTTAGGTAGCCAAAAAAAGCTAGGTTAGGTTAGGTTAGGTAGGTTAGGTAGACGAAAAAACATTAATTCATGAAAACTTGGCTAATTAGGCAAATCGGGCCTTGAATAGTAGGCTGAGAAGTGCGTTCTGGCTATTAGGTACGACATATATATATATATATATATATATATATATATATATGTCGTACCTAGTAGCCAGAACTCACTTCTCAGCCTACTGTGCGAGGCCCGATTTGCCTAATAAGCCAAGTTTTACTGAAATAATATATTTTCTCTATTTTTTTTCTTATGAAATGATAAAGCTCCCCATTTCATTATGTATGAGGTCAATTTTTTTTTATTGGAGTTAAAATTAACGTAGATATATGACCGAACCTAACCAACCCTACCTATCCTAACCTAACCTATCTTTATAGGTTAGGTTAGGTTAGGTAGCCGAAAACGTTAGGTTAGGTTAGGTTAGGTAGGTTAGGTTGTCGAAAAAACATTAATTCATGAAAACTAGGCTTATTAGGCAAATCAGGCCTTGCATAGTAGGCTGAGAAGTGAGTTCTGGCTACTAGGTACGACATATATATATATATATATATATATATATATATATATATATAAGCCTATACTTGCATAAACCACAAGTGAAGACTACGTTGTGTTGTCCAAAGATTATATATATATATATATATATATATATATATATATATATATATATATATATATATATATATATATATATATATATATATATATGTCGTACCTAGTAGCCAGAACGCACTTCTCAGCCTACTATACAAGGCCCGATTTGCCTAATAAGCCAAGTTTTCATGAATTAATTGTTTTTCATCTACCTAACCTACCTAACCTAACATTTTCGGCTACCTAACCTAACCTAACCTATAAAGATAGGTTAGGTTAGGTTAGGTAGGGTTGGTTAGGTTCGGTCATATATCTACGTTAATTTTAACTCCAATAAAAAAAAAATGACCTCATACATAATGAAATGGGTAGCTTTATCATTTCATAAGAAAAAAATTAGAGAAACTATATTAATTCAGGAAAACTTGGCTTATTAGGCAAATCGGGCCTTGCATAGTAGGCTCAGAAGTGCGTTCTGGCTACTAGGTACGACATATATATATATATATATATATATATATATATATATATATATATATATATATATATATATATATATATATATATATATGTGTGTGTGTGTGTCCTCACTTGAATGAACTATATGGGGCAAAGCCGATTCGTTCCAGTGTGGAATTCGTTCCATCCGTCCAGCCCCAACAGCCATCTTAATTTTTTTTTTAATATATATGCCAGGACACATTAGCATTAGGAAACATTGCACCTGACTCATGAAGGGAGTCCTTGCTAGTGCTGGTCCTGTAGGCCTACTGTGAAACCGTACCAAAAACTTTTGAATTTTCGTTCTTCGTTGTGCGCTGCTTCATTATAATATCTTTCATGCCCTTTAGGTGTTGATAATAATCTGATATGGGGAAATCACCATCCCCCCACCACCCACACCATCCCCCACACCCACACCATCCCCCATACCCCAACATCCCCCGCCACACCACCCACACCCCCACACCTTCCCCTACACCACCCACCCCCATCCCCCACACTACCCACCACACCACCCACACTGTCCCCCACACCACCCACACCATCCTCCACACCACCCACCACACGACCCACAGTATCCCCCACACCATTCCACACACCACCCACACCCACCACACCACCCACACCATCCCCCACTCCACCCACCATACCACCCACACCACCCCTCACACCATCCCGCACCCCCCCCCCCACACCACCCACACCTTCCTCCCTTGGGTAATAGTGACCATGTCTTTTTGGGAATAAAGTATGCAATGCGTTATAATGTGGAAGAAAATATGAAGGTTGATGCAATTGAAAAACCAGACTTCAGGAGAGGACATTATGGTGACCTTAGAAATTTTTTTAGTGAGTATAATTGGACAGACTTGTTGCTAGGCAAGGAAGTGAATGAGCTATATGTCAAGTTTTGTGAAATATATGATAAAGGCACAAAAAAATTTATGCCAAAACAGAGAAGCAGAACTAGGAAACAGGATTGGTTCAATAGAAAGTGCGAGAGGGCCAGAGACCAAAAGACACAAAAATGGAATCAATACAGGAAGAGGCCAAACCCCCAAACATACCAGCGATAC